TGTAGATAAAAGCACTTCAGCGTGTCACAAACTCACTGGCATGATTTTACTGCAGCATTGATTCTCTGGAGTAACATTTATTTACACCAGCTGAGGATCTAGACCACTATTTCATACCGTAAGAAACCTGGCAAGCCAACGTGGACCCAGAATAGCACAGCTATCTCTCAGCACTTAGGATCTTAGCTGTTATTTATAGCGTACAGATGGCAAACTGCTTATTCAAATGGGGTGAAATTTATACACGTGAATAAAGGGTCTTTTTGCCTGGAACTGAATGAAGGCTGGTGTGATATACTGAAATCTCTGTTAAAACTGTAGCCTATCCTTTGAGATTTCAGGATTTTTCCTCTTCCTGCTTGCAATCTAGGGGACTCTATAGGGAAGTGTGAGATCTTGGCCTAGCAGCACTCAGTCTGCAGCCAGCTAGCCTATGTTAAGGTGGAGTCAGTTGTGGCTCTCTTTTTCTGGGAGCAGCCTGCTTTGTCCCCCTCTAATTTTTGGTTCTTGTGTGTTATCTAAGAAATAAAGTAGTGGTACAGTGCAACCTTTCAGCATGAGTATTTATCTGTCTCAGTGTGAATGCCATGAACATAACTTGGGGTATTTATATTTCCTTCCTACAGGCTGATATTTTTAGTTTCCCTTTCCATTTGTAATCAGTTGTTTTTATTTTACTAACCTCTTTGCAACATTTTCAGGCAGCCTTCTTGGCCATAATAGGCAGCTTCATGCAGTGGTAGCCATCCATCCTTGTTCGGCTTGGAAAGGTTCTTCCCTGATTTCATCATGTTGAGCAGGGCACTTTCATTTCCTTCCTTGATTGCTGCCACTACAGGATCCAGCTCTCTTTAAAACAGTGTTGAAAATCAATTACATATTGCAGCATTACAGTAAAGCCTTTTACAGCATCAACCAAGAAGCTCTGAGAAAGCCTAGGGCCCACTTGTGCAAACGAAAATGGTAAGATTTTGGTGTCTTTGGGGTACACTGGCTGCAGTTGACACTAGCTGTGATTTCCTCTAAAACAGTGGTTCCTAATCTGGGGTGCATGCACCCCCTGGGGGTGCGAGATGCCCTTTCTGGGGGTGCAAGACATGCCAGATTTTTATTATATATCTTAGATTTAAAGAACTGACCTACTTCAATGATTTTTAATAAGGGGTGCGAGAACATATTTTGAGAACCAAAGGGGTGCAGGCTGCAGTAAGGTTAAGAACCACTGCTCTAAAAGATGACTTGGGATGATCAAACCTGTTCAGAAATCTCTTTCCAATGCTTTACTCCAAACTCCCACCTAACTTGCACCAAACTTTTCTGAGGTTTGAACAAGTTTGCTTAACTGTGTGAAAGAAATGAGCCTAGAAGTAGAAATGTTGAAGTACAATGAGGGATTGGTTCTTGTGGTGTTTCTGAAAAGCAGAAAGTGCTGGGAAGCTCACAAAAGGGCCTGTTCTGGGAAGATAGCTGGTCCAATTTCTAAGAAGTCAGTGATGTAGTTGAGAACAGCACTGGAACTTTTTGTGTGGTTATCTGAACTCACCTCCCCTGGAATAAAGGGGTGGGAAAAAAGCTGTCTGCCCCAATGGAACTCAGAGTGCCACACAATAAGGACGAGGAATGCTCAGCTTCAGCTTAGGCACAAAAATAAGTGGCCTGATCTTGAGAAGAATTTAACAAGTTGGATGTTTAGTTCCTTTGCAAATTAGTCTGTAGGTGTCACAATAGGAGATTCTGAGCACTGAACAGCTGTGAAAAACTGGTTCTTTTTTACGTATCTACATAGTATCTCTTGAAAATGTGCCCCTTAGCTCTTTAGAAAATCCCTAACGGCATTCCCTGAAAACCCTGCATTCGAGTGAGTAGTCTTCATTCCCATGAGTAGTTCTTTGAGTAAAATCTACTCGTGTGAGTATGGCGAATGCTGGACCAGGCCCTCATTGCTTTAGACAAGCAAACACTATGGCAGCACAAAAAGTTAAACAAGTGTCTCACTGGAGCCCTTGTGTGATTGGCCTGCAGCCCAGCTGGCCAGTATAAAAAATAAATTCTCTGCTTGGATTCTGTCAGAAACATGACAACTCTGCAGCAGGAGCACGGAAGGACCCAGGCAGGGTTTTTTTTTTAATCTGACTTTTGCAAGCTGCTCAGAACTGTTACTGCACCTCAAAGACAAGGAGCAGGTGGCTGAATTCCCACAGCAAGACCAGTGCGGGATGGGGTCAATTCTGGGTAATCCTGAGCAGACTGGCAGGAGCACAAATGGTGCAGGAAGCATCTTTTCTTCCCA